ACACACACACACACACACACACACACACACACACACACACACACACATTGGGTTCAGAAAACTTATTGAGCTCAGGAAGTATTGGAATGGAATTTTATAACATATAGAGAACTTTAGGCATGCCTCTTGCCATTACTAACATAATACACATGGGAGGCTGCTTATTGCTTTTTGCTGCCTTTGCTCTAATCACAGATCAGCTCCAGAATTTATACCCATTTTACAAGCATTCATTAAAGAGTTCACGTAGAATACACACTTTCCAGTAATTCATTTATTTCATTTTGCCTTGTTTTTAACTTATTTTAAAAGCTTAGGAAAATTGTCAACGTGAAGGTCATAGCATTCCAATTTATTAAATTTTTCCAATAGTGAAATTAGATGCTGTAGTTGATGAATAACTCTCACAGTGAATGCAGGGGTGAATAGGACCTATTAGATCATCAGTGCTTAGCTTTGGGTGTGATGTAGCTTCAGCCAGTATTTTTATTAGCGTTTAACCCTGGGCTTAGGTCAGGTCAGCTCATGCAGGATCTTAGATTTCTTCGGATTGTCAGCCAGAGAGAGAGAGTACACACTAGAGAGTATTTTCTTGGTTGGTATGATGAGAGGCAAATCTGATAATGCTTGATTTTGCCACAGAAGCCCTGGCCTCAACCGTATGCTCATTTCTAATGAGCACTATATGACAAATAATAAAATATATCCCTTTTGTAAAAATAAGATGCCATCTGCTTTAGGTCTTTCCCCATTTTCCTTTTTATTAATTTCAACCAAAAATGCATATAATAGGGGCTTCCCTGGTGGTGCAGTGGTTGAGAGTCTGCCTGCCGATGCAGGGGACACGGGTTCGTGCCCCGGTCCGGGAAGATCCCACATGCCACGGAGCGGCTAAGCCCGTGAGCCATGGCCGCTGAGCCTGCGCGTCCGGAGCCTGTGCTCTGCAACGGGAGAGGCCACAACAGTGAGAGGCCTGCGTACCGCAAAAAATGCATATAATAAACTAAGCAATTTTTTATAGGGTTGAGAGAAAATGACAAGCAAGACTGTTCTGTTTAATATTGATGTATTGAATCACTTTGATTCATTTGCATAAAGAGTGCTGCATAAATGAAATGTAAAATGATATCCTTTTGGCAAGAGAAAACCCAGCATCTTACTTCGAAAATGAGAAAAAATTACTTTTAGCGCTTACATCAAAAAAGAAAACAAATGCTGCTTCCTCTTTGGACACTTGTGTCAACCACCATGACTTGATCCAACCCTCTGGCCTGTTTATCTCTTAGGCTTCTCTGCCACAGTATTTGCTTTACTCGTTGAGGGCTATTCTATAAAACTGGTAACAAAAATATCATATAATGGTATCATTTCACAAAGAACAATTTGCTTGATGAATCTGAATAAATTAAGATTTTATCATAATTTTTCATTATGATAAACAGGCTTTTCTTTTCATTGTGTGGGCAGTAGTTTTGTTTAATATTTCCTTGCTTTCCTCTAGTCATTGACATCCTTTTACTTGATGCTAATAATTTTTTCAAAGGTAAAAAAGAATTTTGACGTGATGACTGTAAATTTATTTTTAATGTTGGTACCTGAGCAGTCCCATCCAACCTTTTAGAAACAGCTCCTTCAAAACAGAAGTTATTTGCCATATATTCCTTTTGATTGAATTCTACACTCTGTAGCATGAATATCAGAACGTAGTGGCTCGTCTTTGACACATCTGATATTTACATATGCACTATTTACCAAGAGTTTTCAATTTAATTAAAAATGTTTGTATGATATACCTCAGCTGATGCATTTCTAACAGGTATTGCCACTCAGAGTGTGGTTCTTGTTTAAGTGAGATCACCATCAGATTTATTAGGTGCCTCAAAGCCCTGGGCAGCTCTGAGGAACCAGTTTGATAGTGTAACAGCCACTGTCCTGTGATTCTGGAGAGTAAGATCCCATACCTCTCTTAAATTAATTTGTTCTTACTGCTTAGTACACTCACTCCTCCAAAAGAAAGTTTTTTTCTGGGGAAGAACCTCTTCTTACTTAGGAGTTGTGCAGGGAGACATTTCCAGATGTTACTCCTCTCCTCAATGGCACTTGTCTTCTGAGGGTTTTTGACTGTGCACTTATAAGATTTGAGGAAGCTTTAAAAAAATTAATTTGAAAACTTATTATGAGTTGTTTCTGGCATCATTAACAGAGGAAGACATGCATGATGGAGAAACCAAAATAAAATGTTCTGCCCTAGAATCAAATACAGTTCCCCTTCTCAACTCCATATATTATTTTTCCCAGCTATATTTTGCATAGGTTGACAATTAAGAGCCCTTACAATTCCTAAGCAAATTAAATTATTACATACTTAGTTGTTTATTTGTAAATGTTATTTGTGATTATACAAGAAAAGTATAGTACATGGTTCTCTAAGGATATCTGTGCTCTCCAGTCACTTTCCTCAGCTGACTCAAGAGAAGTTTCAGTCTCTTTCATGTTATGATCTGACCATATTGTCAGCCCAGTACTGGGCTGGTTTATTCAAAGCTAAACAGTAGCTAACTAGATGAACTAATAAAATTATCTACTACAATCTGCTATGAGCATATCTATTGCAGTAGAAATAGAATAGCCTATAATTACTGTGATTGTATCCCTAAAACTCTTATAATTATTTCATAAAACACCCATCACCTTTGAGAAAACACAAAGACTCTTGAAATTCTTGTTCTAATTAGTCTATAGCAGAGATTCTCAAACTTTAAAATACACCAGAGTCACCTCAAAGGCTTCTTCAAACACAGATTGCTGAACCCCACCCCCAAAGTTTCTTATTAAGTCTGCAGTGGGGCCTGAGAATTTGCACTTTCAACAAGTTTCCTATTAGGGAACCGCAGTTTGAGATCACTGCTCTGTGGTTTGCAATTTTTACCACAGGTTATTAAATCAGCATTGGTAAGGCACTTTCTGGTATCTCTTGGAACTTACAGGGAAAGGGTTCAGTGAGGAAGGAATGGGCAGATAATAGAAATTTACCCAGTGGACCACTTTATACCCCTCATCCCTTTTCAGAGGGGTTCTCAGTCCTATTATGTGCACTTAGAGAAAAGTAGGTGTTTGTATAATTTAGGAAACAATTTACTCTTTAAAAATGTTTAGCTTTGTAATATCACTTTAAGATCAGGCTTGCAAAATTCTTAGAGACCATTCGCATTAATTTCATTTACAAGTGTTCATAACTCTAGGAAGACATTAGCTATTGGTCATTTATCGTGTAATACAATTATCCTAGAAACGCAGTTTTTAAAAAAACAGTAAGCCCTGGGCATTTCTTTAAGTTGAAAATATTTTTTCTTTTATGTCTTGGGTCTCCGTGTCACAAGCTGAGAAGGATATCTTTCCTTCTTAACCAAATCTGATAGTTTTCAAACCCATTGAAGTAACCTGCATGGAACCATGAAATTGAGTAAAGAACATTTTGTTTGTAGGTTCCTCATAAATGTTTATGTTTAAAGGGAGAAAGATACATCTGCTTTACAAGATCTAGAAAGAAATAAAGAGTGCAGAGCCTATTTTCCTCGCATTTCAGCCTGTCTCCCATTCTGTACTGATGCTCATAATTCATCTAGATTCAACTCGGCCCTTCTGAAGAGCCATCACTCTGTTTCCAGGCTCTGATCCATTAAGTTTGTCAAAGTGAGTTTCCTATCTGCATTTTTTGTTGTTTACAGGTAGAGTGACACATCTGTCACTGTTTAGATCTCGTTTACTGAAGACTAATGACCAAATGTAATGCCAGAAGGGAGCTGTTGTCTTCCGTTATTTAACAAGTCTGGAAGCCTTGCCTGGTCCACATATCCTCTTCTCTGCTGTGTGGCTGACTCTTACACCTAGAGTATATCTTTGCGTTGAAAAATTGCGTATTTACTTTGAAGACAGGGAGCTAATCTGGACAATTTAGACAGATAGATTTGAACATTAAAACTTTCCTTAGAAGGCTTTTACTTTGCCAATATAAATACAACCGTAATCTCACCAAGGTATCGTCACAATTGGATATAAGCAATAGGTGCACATTTAAAGCATTCATTTTCATGATGGAATGCCCAATGTTACGGAATATTACACTCAACACAGACTCCATATACTCACACTGCAGCTCATCAGTGTGAAAGTCTTACATGGTTTATTGGAAGTGTTAATATTTCTTTTAAGGTAAGGAAGACCAATCATCTCATATTGTTCATTTGTTCTCTGATTCATTTATTCACTCAACAATTGTTAGTCATTTCCTCCCAGGCTACAGTGTTTATGATACCCCTCATAATTGCAAAAGCCTTCCAGCTAATTTGCTTTTGATCTTTACCACCTCTTTCCTTGGTGTGCGCCCCTACCTCAGTCAGCTATAAAATTAACAGTTTTAACACCCAGGGTGATAATTTTTCTTGGCGCTTTTGCTGAACATCACATACTTTTAACACCCACCCTGTTTATCAGAACATTCCATAATAGGCAGAGGAGAGACTACAGTGGAGTTAACAGATTAGCAAGCACCATCCAACTTGAGGAAAATAAAAAGCATAGCCATGAACATACTGTACAGTATGACCTACTACTGCCCCCTACCCAGGAGGGTAGCATAACACACACTTTCCACCACTAGCTGACCTGTCATTGAAAAACATGTATTAGCTGCATTATTCTTACTTGAAAGGATGTGTATGTCTCTTAAATAGAAAAAAAAAAACAAACAGGGAAATGAACAATGATATAACAAATTGGCATTACACAAGCTATGCTTATATTAGAAGCCATCAGAGATTACTGAGAGATTACATGAGATTACTGAGAGAAAATGTGTAAAGAAAAAGAGTGGGGGCCCTAAGACAAAACCCTGAGGGAAACATTTAAATGCTCTCTATAGAAAGGAGAGCCAACAAAGAACAGCAAGGAGTGGCCTGAGAGGTAGGAGGAAAACAAGGACTCTGCAGTATTGGAAATCCAGAGGAGACTCTCAAAAGGAAGGTCAGCTATGCCCAGTGCTGCAGACATTAACATGTATTCAACCCCCTGCCCCCAATTAAGAAGCCAAAAGACATTTTTAGAAACTATATCTTACCGCTAAGTTGTTCTATGAAAATTTTATTGTTAGGTGATTCTAGAAACGTTGGACTGCTAAAATATGTTGACTCTCCCCCTTATTTGAAAATAAGGCTTCCAGCAACCTTGAGCATTTAAAATACTGCCCTGTACCTACAAATAGGTAAAAATCCTCCCATAAGTGATGAGGAAAATAGTTCTTACTAAACATTAGGTGAGGGTTTATTTTGCAAGGCAAGGAACCATTCTCAAGCCTCGACTCGAACAGCTGTGCATTAACTCAGCTGGCAGGTAATACGTCCGAGCGGTCAGAAGTTCGACGCTGAGCCTCTGGGTGTGCCGTGCAGGCATTTGACAGGCTTCGTGGTAGTGCGCGCGCGTGCACACACACACACACACACACACACACACACACACACAGCGTCGGGAACATAAACCTACAGCAGCAAAAGCGACAGCAGAGGGAGCCAGTGGAAGAGCTAGAAAACAGTGTCAGGCTGTGTAGGGGAGCATCACCCAGCTTGTTGTTCTCTTGAGGGTATCGTATGATTATGTGACAAATTAAATATTTTATAGATTATTAAATTTAATAATTCTCCTCTGACATTGCAATTTTTAATTCTGTTCTAATTTTAGTCTGTAACTAATGTTTGGAAGTGTCCTAAAAGAGTTTATTTATTAGTGTTAACAATGATAAATCCTTGTTACTAATAATTGTAATGTATATTGAGAGCATAATGTGGGCTGAGCACTGTGCCGAACTCTTCACTCACATAACATCTGATCTTCACAGAAGTAATTAATATGGGGCAGGTATTGTTTCTATGTTGAAGGTGAAGATGAGGTCTTAATTACTTGCTTAAGTCCACACAGCAAGAAGTAATGAAGGCATGTTTGTCTGACACAAAAGCCATGTCCTTTCTATTATACAACCTTGGTTCATGGGACTGGCATTGATGTTCAGTACTTCTTTCCCCCAAGTCACTAGAGTCAGTGATTATATTAAATGTGTTTATTTCTCTTAGTCTAGTGATAAGCTTAGTAATTGAATTCACCTTGTCTAAAAAAGGAGAAATGGCATATATCAGAGGAAATTCAGCTAGAGGAAAATCTTCAAAATGATTCAGCCCCTAAGTTGATCTTCTAAAGAAAAAGTAAGTGATTGGGATAAATAGGAAAGGACTCTTTGAAAAATGATAGTACCCAGGAAGGAAAATTCCTTAAAACTTTCTTAAACTAGTCCCTTCTGAGTGGCCCAGGTAGCTTATTAAATATTTGGCTCTTATTCAGCAGGTGTTCTAGGGAGAATTTTCTCTAGCAGTAAGTCGCCAGTCTCTTCTGGGGCTGACAGCTCCATAGAATTCCCTGGGGGTCTTGGGGTCACCTGTAAGGTATAGACACAAGGTAGGTTTGCCTCCTAAACTGAACTGAGAAATACCTCTGTCTTAAACTGAGAAAGAATTCAGAATCACGAAGAATATTAAAAGCTTAGACCATAGCTAGCTGCTCTAATGATGATAGAAGTTCTCTAGGAGAAGAATACTTTGTAAAGATCTTTAAGAATGTATGCCCTTCTCCATTCTTCATGGAGTTAAGCTAGAAATTGAAAATTAAGTTTTCATATAAAAACGAGAAAGGACAGTGCTGTTCATTGTTATTAGTGCCTGGCTGCTGTTGCACCAGATTTGCAGAAGAGGATGCAGTCACAGTGTCATGTTGTGTGTATGTCGATGTGTTACAACTTAGTTCTTAACTGTATGGCTTCTTGAGATTTGTGGTCTTGACTGTCAATCTTTGTGTACTTTAGAGCATACTCTCAGAGCCAGTGCCAGTGTTTTATGTAAAACTTTTAGCTTCACCAGCTCTTGTCATATTGCCTAGCACATTTATGTTGGATTCTCAAAACAAAATTTGTTGACTGTCTTGTTGGCTGTCTTTTCACAGTGATTCCAAATATATTTCAACAAAAAATTAACTAATTGCTTTTTAGTAAATATAAAATGACATTAAATCTCTTTTCTATGTGGCAAGTTGCTGAGTTGGTATTTATATGGAAATGGAAATGCATAATTTGTTTTAAGGTGGTAGAGTTATTAAATTTAGGGCCTGGAATTCTCAAGATAATAATACTCTTGTCATCCAACAGCCACCCAAGCCACTCCTGTTTTTTTTTTTTTTTTTTTTTAACATCTTTATTGGGGTATAATTGCTTTACAATGGTGTGTTAGTTTCTGCTTTATAACAAGGTGAATCAGTCATACTCCTGTTTTTTTGTTATTATTTTTGAGGCTATTTACTAAAATTGGTTTCAAAATTATAATCCCAAGCGTATTTGGTACTTGGGAGCAATGACGTTCTCATTAAACTAAGGAAAGTTCCTGAATATATGTGAATGGGGAGTGAAAATTCTGATATCACAATTAATATTCCTTATGTGAATTGTTTTCAATATAGATTTCTTCGAACACTTCACAGTTGGGCAGTGCTGAACCTGTAAAACGCTGTGGGAAGTCTGCACTCTTTCAACTGGCAGAGGCAAGTTCTAAGAATATGTTGTGATAAGATCTGCAGTGGTCGAAGTCACAAAAAAGTTAATCGTAACTGTGTTCCCTAAACGGTACCATCTCACCTGTGACCATAAAGTGTGTTGTATCTAATTTTCAACAATGAGAGGGTTAACCTTTAATTTAAGGAAGTGGACTTTTGCTACGAAAAGTCATTAAGCATTGAAAAAGGTTACCCGGGGAAATTGCAAAATCTTTTTCACAGGTAGTATTTTAAAATAAGGTCAGTTTTTGTCTCTCTCAGATTGGTTAAGTAAGTACATCCTAAACCGAGAAGAATGGCCTACGTCATTTTCCTCTTCTCTGATTCTCTTGTGATAGCTATAAATCCCTAGAAAGCGCTACCATTAAGCTAGGTGGTTGATGTTTTAATTTGGGGGTTGTTTTCAGTGAAGAACTCAAAGGATGTGTTCTAAAGTCTGGTTTTATAGCATCTGTCAGTTGTACGTTTGATGTGATGTGGGTGTAAAATGCTACTACTCCTTTGGCAAAGTAGAAAAGATGCTTTTGTAAAGCCTAAGAAGAACAGAGCCCTCACTTGGCGGGGGATGGTGGGGGGGAGAAGATGCCGGGAGTGGTCATTGCTGGGATGGGTGGCAACAAGGCTTCCTCTGCCAAGCTGGACCGATCTGCCCTATGGGGACTTGTGCAAGAAATGGCTTTAGCGCCTGGACACTGTTGTAGCAGTTTTCTCTTTTGGTGAGGCAAATTAGGAGGTACAAAATGAATGACCCAAAATCTCTATATTAAACTTCCTTTTCTCTCTTTTTTTCTGTCTTCCTTCCAATGAGTTCCTTCTGAGTTTTTTTGTGATATGGTTCTTTTATAAATTATTTGAGTTTATTGAACTTAATGGGACAACCTGTCATTTTCTAAATTTTATGGTAGCTTGTATCATAAAAATTTAGCAGTTTTAAATATCTTTATTTTTTTTTAAGTTTTATTTTATTTTTTTGGCCGCACCTCGTGGCTTGCGGGATCTTAGTTCCTCAACCAGGGATCGAACCCGGGCCCCAGCAGTGAAAGTGCTGAGTCCTAACCACTGGACCGTCAGAGAATTCCCCCTAAATATCTTTAAATTAAGCTTTTAAAGGCCAGCCAGATCCAAATTAGGAATATAAAAATAAAAAGGCCTGAAACAGTAAAGTATGTAAATAGTGGGACAAACTAATCCATTTTTGTCTGACATGAAGCTGACATGCTTCTTGTATAAGAGAAATTCAGACTCAAGTAGAGGGCTACTAATGACTAGAAAAATTAGGAATGCCCCAGGGAATAGTTTTTAAAAGAATTGGGTAAGTCAGTGGCAAAGTACTGTTTCTGATAGAACTAAAATAATAAAGATCTGGCAATGAGTCTGCCTTTAGAGTTGTAAACGTGTCTTAGTAAACAGGGAGACTATGAGGCCATAAATTTGTCCAGTATCTTTAAGACTATACAGATTGTCAAGATAATTTACTTGAAAGAAGTGATTATTTTTCTTAAATAAGATGAATATGGCCCTTTCTGCCTTTCCAGGGGGGTGGGGTATGTACATATATACAGACATATCCATATGGTCTTTTAAATATTAAACAACACTGATTTATAAAACACACTAGCTTTCAGTGTGAATATTTGTTTATTAAATAGTTTTGTATTAGAAATGTATGGACCTTAGAGGTGCTTTGCCGTGGGCGGGGTGCTAGAGCAGTGAATCTGTCTTCTCGTTTTCTTTCTTTGGCATAACAGTCACAAAAAAATGGATTCCCCATTAAATCAGAGCTCATTAAAAAGAACACTCTTCAAATTTGTAAGGATGCATCCCAAATATAAAACAGATGCTATGGTTTAACAGATGTTTCAATGTTGGTATCATAATTTAAAGGGGTAAAATGACTGCAATAAGCCTATTCCAATTATAGCAAATCAGCTTATACTCAGACTTAGTTTCTTATAACATCCAAGTAAAAATAATATGCTTTTGATGGAACAGGGTTGGTAAAAAATAATTTACCAAGAAAATCTCCTCACATTATTATTCGCACCACATGAATATGATGCCATAACGCTAATAGAGTGTGTTTTAGAATAACATCCTAAAGCCTTCCCAGTTTATAATTAAACATAAATATGTGCACAATGGATTAATCAGCATCTCTAAATAATCACCAGTAGAAATATGCTTCCTCAGTTATTTTTTATTCGTTGTGTATTTGATGTTCATTTTTTCTTGAACAGAGTATAATATTTAATTATTTGGGGTACCTCTTTAAATAAGTATGATAGGATATTGAGGAGGATTTTTCCTGTGGCCCAGAATTGATGCCATTGTCTGATATCCTAAGGGACAGCTTTAAATTTACACATTCTAAAGGGAAAGCCATCAACAAGCTACCTTCAGTTTGGGCTAGATTCTTCTCTTGGGATTTATAAAGAGACAGCCTTATCCAGCTGTCATCCCTTTACCACTCCAAGGGTTTCCCCACCCTAACCCCATGGGTGGGGCTATCATGGGATTGACAGTCATCTGGAATATTGTGGCTTTTCTCCTTGTCCTGTGGAGGAAAGCAGGCAGTGCTTTCCCTTCTTCACGCCTGGCCTCTGTCAAGCAGAGTGAAGACAGCTCTGAGAGAACCCCTGTTAAAGAGTAGGGGTCGTACTACCAGAAGTGTCTTCTCATGTTTTGGCGAGAAGCAAGCAATGTTTTAGACGTTGATTTACTGCGGTGCCCTTCACCTCTCTGACCAGGCCAAAAGAGAACTGGAGGAAGTCAGCAGCAGGGAGAGACTTAGCATAGCCTGACGCACTGTCTTGGCATTGCAAAGATGCATGAGTTTTCCAGGGGCCAAGTGAACAAGTAGAAAGTAGTTCAGCTTGATCAGGCAAGAGGCCACGGAATGGTCGTGGGGAGAGGGCAGGCCTGGGACCATCCCATCTCTCACTTGAGGACACTCTGAGGAACTCCCACAAACAGGAGTGATGTTCAGCTTGTTTGCACCAGGACAGCTGTCCCGGTACTAAAATACAGAATACTTCCTATTGTTGGTAAGAAGACTGGGACCCTACCCCTTGAGTACCTTTGCAGTAACTCTGCCAGCATCCCAGCTCTCCCCTATCCTTCTAGCGACTGGACAGCACAGCAAGGGGCCTGCAGCACCCTGTTCTACCCCTGAGACCACATCCCTTCTGATTGCTTAGCACCCCTGCCTGTTAGATATTTTGTAAGTTGTCTCTGTCCTTGGTATCTCTGTCAAGGTCATTCAGTCTTATGGGAGTTAGCAGGAAAAGACAAAGACATAACCATGCACAGTTGGTTTTACCTGCACCATTCCTTCCTCTGTCCTCTCAACCAGAGGCTATATGTCTTATGAAGGAAGGTCCAGGAACCAGCCCCAGAACTAACCATTCACCCTTCCCAGCTCCATTCTGGTGGGTGGACATGGGAGAAGGAGTGAATGAAGAGCCTTCCCAAAGACAGGGTTTGTTGCTTGCAAGAAAACTCTTCTCTTGGAGAGAAGCAAGAAATATTGTAGGCATGTATTTATTGCTGTGCCCTACACCCACTTCAGCAGGCAAAAAGAAAATTGGAGGAGGCTGGCGGCAGATAGAAGGAGACTTAGATTGGCCTGCAGTCTCAGTTTGGGCATTGCAAGGAGCGCTCCCCATTTCCCAGCACCCCAAGCCAGGAGATGCTCTGGTGGAAGGGTCTGCCTCAGGCATTTGATTGGCATTTTAAATTGGGTGGATTTTTAATAGCCGAAAGTGACCTGAAAATTCTGGAATCCATTCCAGGTATTTTTCAGGAATCTACTCCAGCTAGGAAGGGAGATTTGGCATGGTGCTGCTGAGGTCAGGGAATTGTAAAAAATACAGTCCTTTATGTTTGAACCTCCATGAGATTCATACTATTCAGTTAATCAGTTAATTGGCACAAGTACTATAATGTATTGTGTTTCCTTTCCTTTTGAAATTAATTAGGTCAGGTCACATAAAGAATAGCAAAGCATCCTCCTGGAGATCATTGTGTATTATAATTACTATAGTTGGAGAGCACACAGAAACATCTTTATCTGTACATTTTAGTAAAGAAAATTCTACACTTAAAGATACCTGTTACTAATATTGCCTAGTACAGCAAGTGGAGCAGTTTATTCATTTATTCTAACAAACAGTAGTTTCTGAGGGCCTACTCCGTGCTATTAACAGCGAGGTTGTTCAAGCTACCTGCATATGGGTGTACATTGAGATAACCTGTGAGCCTTCTTCTGAGATCAGTGGTATAGGAAGACCTTACCTCGAGATCCAGTTTTGGTGTTTGGTGTGCCATGAAAGGCTGGAGCATAAGCCTAAAAATATTACTATTTGTTTTACTGCTAATTTTTTTATCTGCAAGTAAGTTTTATTATCTAACGTAAGATAATAATGACCGACATTTATTATCTACTGTGTGCTAGGCACTTTTCTAGGTACTTTATATGTACTCATTGAATTCTCACATCTGTCCTTTGAGGTAAGTACTATTATCATTCCTCTTTTCCACAGTAAGAAACAAAAGGACAGAGAGGTTTTTTGACTTGCCTGAGGTCATGTGAACAGGAAATATTAGAGCCTCCGTAGAAACCCAGTCAGTCTCTCCACAGCCTGGGCTCTTCAGCACTGTGCTATTCTGTCACCTTGTTTTAGATGAATAGAAAAGACTGTGCAAGTGACTTGTTATAGGAGTTTGCATGTTATAGAAGTCTCTGTGGAAGATAGCCTACTCCTACACACGTGTATGGCTGAACAAAATGACAGATTGTTCAAGGCTGCTGTCAGAGAAATGGAGCTGATATTTCCTTTTTTAAAAGTGATTCTACTTTTGAAACTGCCAAGATACATCCTACACCCTTAAATAAGTGAGTGCCTGTTTGTGAATATACTTTGGAAGATACGGTGAGGACTGTAGGAAATTACAGTGTATGCCTCCTGTTCTCCAGGAACTTATTCTCC